CGCGCCGCGCCCGCCGCCGGACACGCCCCCTCGTAGGCCACGCCCTCTCCACGGGCCACGCCCCCGCCTCCGGGCCACGCCCCCGCCTCCGGGCCACGCCCCCGCCTCCGGGCCACGCCCCCGCCTCCGGGCCACGCCCCCTCCGGTGTCGCACGTGGGAGGCCGGGAGCGCGCGGAGGAGGGAGCGGATCCGGCCCCGAGGGCGGCGGGAGCCCTGGAGCAGCCGGGAGATGCGAGCGGGATGGGGCACTGGGGACAATGGGAGCCAGAGCCCCGGGACACAGCGGGGATGGGAGCCGGCACCGGGAGCCCTGGGCCACCCAGGAGATGGGGCTGGGTACTGGGAGCCCTGGGACACAGCAGGGATGGAATTGGGCACTGGGAGCCCTGGGACACCCAGGAGATGRGACCGGGYACYSGGAGCCYTGGGACASRRYACCTGGAGCCCTGGGGAGATGGGACTGCGTGCTGGGAGCACAGGAAGGATGGACCGGGCCCCGAGGAGCCTGGCGGGGATGGAACCAGGGACTGTGAGCATGGAGACACCCAGGAGGTGAGACCGGGCACCCAGCGCGCAGGGACACGGAGGAGACAAGACCAGGCACCCAGAGCCAGGGGCACCCCGTTCACACCCAGCAAGGCGAGGGGCCATTAACTATCACAAAACATTCTTTAATTGGGGGCAAGGCAGGAGTTGAGCAAACGCGGCAGGCGCCAGAGGCAGGAGAAGGGCCGGGATTGCGACACGCTCCGTCCCCATCCCTGCGGGCCCGGCCTTCGCTGCCGGCGCGAGGGTGGAGCGGCCCTGCCTGCACCGCCGTCCGTCCCTCCCTCCGTCGCGTCCCGCTCCGATTCACAGCACGGCCGCCGACATCCCCCTGGCGAAGAAGGCGACGTTCCGCTCCTGGATCTTGTACTGGTAGAGCTGCAGGCTGTCGCGCTCCCCGCCCGGCCGCAGCGACGTGCGCCGGATTATCTTCAGCTGCGGACGACACGGACGCGGTGTTAACGTTCCCGCGGGTGCCCGGTGCCGCCGCGCGTTCCCGGCCCTCCCGCACCTGCCCGTGCACGTCCTTGCAGAAGCCGGTGGCCAGGCCCTCGGCCCAGAGGATCAGGTCGCTGTGGTGGCTCAGGGCGGTCACGAGCAGCTCGTTTTCCTTGTCCCCCGAGTCCTCATTGCTGTGGACCAGCACCACAATGTTCCCCTGGCAAATATATATATATATATAATGCATCAAAATATATATATAATGCATCAATTTGATATATACGGGGAAGCACTTCTTCACTGTGAGGGTGCCCGAGCCCTGGCACAGGCTGACCAGGGAGGTTGTAGAGTCTCCTTCTATGGAGCTCTTCCAAACCCGCCTGGATGCCACCCTGTGCTCTGGGTGTCCCTGCTGGAGCAGGAGGGTTGGACTAGATGATGTCTGGAGGTCCCTTCCAACCTCAACCATTCTGTGATATTTATACATCTGCAGCCTAAAAATACATCCAAGCCCTTGGTAGGAGGCAGCCGCCTAGTTTAACCGGTTTGTTGAGCTGCACAAGCAGGAGATAAGGCGACAGGAGGGAAGGATCCAACGGGAAGGATCCGTAGGGATGTGGCGCTGCAGAGGCAGCGGGAGGAGCGTGCCGGGGCTCCCACCTGCAGCCGGGAGCACACGGCCACGCGGCAGTAGTGCACGAAGTCGAGCACGGCCACCGGCGCGGCGCCCAGGCTCAGCAGGACGCCCAGCTCGTCGAGCAGCAGCACGCGGCCCTGCCACGCGTCCCCGTCGACGGGCGCCAGCGCCGCCTGCACGAAGGTGAACAGGGCCCGCAGGTCAGAGACGCTCCCGCTGCAAGAGAAGAGGTCCTGGGACTCGGGGCGGGTTCCACCACCCACCCCAGCCCTCCCGGCCCCCGTGGCCACAAGGACGAGCCCCAGAGCGGTGGCGCTTTTACCTTAGGAACTGCAGAGGATGGGGCTGTGTGGCCTGCTGCTCTTCCTCCCGCTGCTCCTGGCCAAAGACGACGTCGAGGCAGGAGCCCAGGCCCTCCAGGAAGACGAGCTGGCCCCGCTCCTTGGCCGCCGTGAGGTTGACGCCCTGCGGAGAGGAGCGGGACGCGCTGCAGAGCGGCCGGCCCCGCGGCTCCCGGAAAGCCACCGTCAGCAGCAACAGGGCCAGCAGTCTGGGTGACTTTTTTAAGTCCCTGGCAAGGTGACGGTTTTGAGCCACCATTTGAGGGGGCTCCTGCCCATTTGTAAGGGAGAACCATATCCTGCTGCACCCTGGGTCATTGCTTAATGCCTGGTGGGATGAAGAGGGGACAGCTCTGCCCAGAGACCGGTTTGGGCCCAGAAGATTCTCCTCATGTGCCAGGGAAGGGCCTGCACGTGGCCCCCTGAACGTAGCCTCCGCAGCTGGAGGCAGGAAGCACGAGGGGACAAACGGCGCCTGCCTCCCCGACAGCGCGCCCGTCACAGGCAGGCACCAACCCCGCGTCCCCAGAGCCCCCGAACGGCGGCACCTCAGGGCCGCCCACGCCACCGTGCCAGCACATGGACATCACCTGGCAAGCGAGATCTCTGCAAGAGAGAGGGGGTAACGGAGAGCACGAGTGGGTGGTTATCAGTGGAGCCCGGCCGCGGGGCAAAGGGCGGCCACCTCGCCAAGGTCCCCTCTGCAGCACAGCCCCGCACGGGGACACGGCTCTGCCACAGGGAGCTCAGCGGGGACAAACAGGGGCTTTCTTTTTCCCTTTAAAGCAAAATCAATGCTGTACAAACAGGGGTGGGGGCACAGCTGGCAAACTGCCCCAGTCTGCGCTTAGTCTTGCTTCAGCCCAGCATGTTCTCCAGAAGGCCACAAGTAACATTAATGGTCCCTGCAGGCCCTTAAAATTCAGCACAGATCCTTGCAAGGAGAGTGGGATTTGCAGGAAAGTGGGAAGCTGGGATGGCAGAGCCAGCGCGGGCAGAAAATTCCTGGGAAGCTTCTTCCAGCAAGTGAAAATATGTTGCTGTGTTTAGCTAACGTAGAAGGAACTGGTTCTGGACTGGTCAGACCAGCTGGCTCTGTGGGGAGGCAAGCGCTACTTCAAACGTGTCTTAAATATTGAGTGTATCACCAGGTAGCAGATGCTACACGGACAGCATCCCAGAACTGCCACCACAAAGACGGTGCTGTAGGGAGGATAAAGTCACCCCTGAGCCGCCGGCGCCCCTCGGGATCCGGCACCGCTGATCCCCAGGAGCACGAGCAGCATCCCTGAGCTCGGAGGCTCTCTGCCCCGCGGCCTCCACAAGCCCACCGGCTCCTGCTAGGAATGGTTGGATAGGGGGATGCAGCCTGTGACAACGTGGCCCAGGGCTGCCCAGTTCCTCCCACCACGTGCCTTTACCCGGGTCACCGCAGCTGGATGCCCTGCAGCTCTCCCGGCCGACCTGGAGGGCCAGGAACCTGGTGGGGATGTTGTGACTGAGGAAGAGGATGCAGGAGGGGAGCAGGGGCCGTTTGCTGCAGCCTGGAGCACCGGGCAGCGCATCCCAGCTGGGAGCAGTGCTGCTCCAAGACGAACCACGTCTCTGCTTGGGGATTTCCTGCCACAGCACCCGCTGTAAACAGAGCGCGTTCCGACCAGAAACAACTCCCAGGGCCAAACCGCCCAGCCCCGCTCCTGCTAGGCCTGATGTGCTCATTTAACACAGATCCAAGGCAAAGGCAAGCTCCTGCGGAAACTCGGATAGAAATAAGCGGTGCCACGATCTACAGCTCCTCGGAATTCCTGGGAATTCGCAGCGCCAACCGGACTCAGGAGCTCTGCTCCCTGGGCGGACAGGGATCCCAAATCTACAGGCACCGCCTGCGCCAGCTGCCGTGTCCCGCTCCCTGCCGGCACGTTTCCTCCAAGAATTCCTCCTCTCCACAACACCAAGGCCAGACCCATTCCCTGTCCCTGCAGGCTGGCTCGCTCAGCACTGGGAAACCTGCTCTGCAAGAACACGTCTGAGGAGAAACAGGGCGCTTGCTCCTTTCGTTTTATTCACCTTAGGGCTGAGCTCCCAGACCACTTTTCTCTTTTAAAAAAGGTAAAAATTGAGCAGTAAGTTAACTGCAACTGTTTCAGCGAGCACCAAAACTCAAGCCCCACTTACCATGGGGAATACACTGTTACAGCCCCTGCTTCTCGGGCATCTTTGCAAGCAGGAGCGCTGCTGGGCTCTCCCCCAGGGGCAGCAGCGGGAGGAGCAGGGCGAGTCCTTGTCCCTGGAGACTTGGAGACTTCACACCGGAGTGTTGGGCAACTCCCTGAGTGCCGTATGGGGAGCCTGGTCAGAGCCCAGGCCCTGGGAACAGCCCAAGCTACCTGGTTTCTGCATTTCCTCACTTGAAGGAGCACATAACACACAATCCTCGTGGGCTTGTGGTGGGAAGGGCGTGTGTGTGCCCAGCGTTGTGGGTAGGTTCAGCTCAGCTCGAGCCCACGGCTTGGCCTGGAGCCCCGGAGGGCCTCGTGGCACCTCACTGCATCAGCCCGAGCTTGCCGGCTGTCCCAGCCCACAGTGGCACAATGGGACAGGACACGAGGCACTGTGCAGGACACGAGCACACGGAATGTCCCCACGGACGCAGCCACCGCTCGTCTGCTTCCCGCAGAGCCCTAAGGAAACTGCAGCTACAACTGCAGCCCCGGGAAAGGCCCTCGAGTGACGAGACCGTGTTGCTCTTTCCACCCACAGGACGTTACCTGGGATGGAACCTGCCAGGCCAGGGACTTACCAGCTTCTGCGCTACGATGTTGTAGTGGCTGAAGGACTGGAGCAGGGCCACGAAACACACCTTGCAGCCGGCTGCGGGACCAGACAAGAGACACGTCAGCTGGGTTAGCGTGGGGAGAGCTGCCGGGGAACACAGATCGGCAGAAACCCCCGAAAGGCCCACAAAGACCTCGAAGGGAGAGGGTTTAGGGAGCCCCTCCCTTGCTCTTGGCTGGGCTGTGGGTTTCCACTTTTCCATGGGTTTTCCTCAGTTTGGGCATTTTGTTGTTGTTGTTTAGGGATTCAGTTTAATAAGAGAAAGGGATGAGATTAAGAAAAGGCTGGTGTGAGAGAAGCAGAAGGTCTCTTTTCTGCCTCGTGCCATGGTGTCCTGGGCTCCTCTGGCACTGACTGCAGGCACCGCTGCGGAGGCCAACGGCCGACCATGACACAATTTACTGCAATCACTGCAGTGCCAGAAGTCCCGTCCTTGGCTCTCGCGGGGTGAAGGACCTTGTCTGAAAACACAAACAGAACGAGCAGAACAAGCCCTTCTGTCAGAGACGCCTCCGCACAACCTGGCTTGGGCAAAGCCATGGTGGGACCACCCGGCCTCGTGCTTCGGGCATGGGCAAAATCAATGCATTTGTGCCTGGGAGCAGGACACTGAACACAAGCGGTGGGAAGTCAACGGCCCCAAGGATCCCCTGGGTGCTCCCAAGCATCAACAAGGTACCTGGACAATGTGGAGGTGCTGCAGACACAGCACCCAGGGTGGAAACGAGAGGCAAGTGGGGATGCTCCAGGGGGATTTTCCCCAGGCACGGGCAGCATTTTCCCGAGCCACTCAAGGTTTGTGCTGTCGGTACCTGCCCGAGGAGCCAGGGATGCTCCACAGCAACGGCCAAAATCTGCCTCAGTGGCAGCCGACAGGTTATTCACAGATTGAAGCCATTAGCAGAAAAGTGATTAGGCCACTTGCCAGGGCCTTTACTTCTTCACTCGCTGCCAGCTTATCTATTTGTCAGTTGTTCCTGATATTTAATTGCGCTACAAAAGGTCTGGCTAGTGAATGGGTTACGCTCCACACCTCGCCCTCAGAAGCCCGAGTGATTTATCACGTTCGTGGGAACCAGTGATGAAACAACCTGCAAGGAGATCAAGGGACGTGCCCAAGGATGCGGAGTCAATCCCCAGAACAAGTCAGGGCTGGGACCCACTAGTCCGGACCCCAAGTGTCTCGTGCTAATCGCGGGGCTGCAAAACCAGTCCTGTGCTTTCAGCCACCTCGTTGCAGGAGAAATTTCCGAGGAGAGAGGACAAGGGTGACCCTGGGCTGGCAGAGCCCGGCCCTTCACGCACCTCTGAGGTAGAAGGAGAGGAAATGGTGCACCAGGAAGCTGCCATCTGTTCTGGTGTCTCGCAGCAGCGTGAATGTACCCTGGGAAGAGAGAAGCAGAACAACTTTAACAGAGGAAGGTGAGGACACAAACTGCTCCCAGCTCCATCCTGGCAGACGGGACATCTGCTCAGCCCAGCGTCTAGCGGGACATGGAAGGTATTAGAGAAGGGAGGACGTGACCTAACAGGACTTTAATTCCCTCTCTGTGCCACCCTAGTGTGTTTGTCCTTTCCAGACAGCATTCAATCTAGAGAGGCAAAGCACAAGCTGAGGTCTCACCAAAACTGAGGGTGCTTCAGTTGCTCTAGGCTTGCGCCAGTCTCACAAGTTGCACCTACCTAAAAGCTGCTGAACGTTTTCAGGATGTGTGTCCTCACGGAGCAGGGGATTCGGGCTTAAACTGCATTTCCTCTGTTTCAGTTTGTACCCACTGCCTCTTGTCCTGTCCCTGGCCGCCACCTCCTCACTGTCCCCCATCAGATACGTTGCACGTTGACAAGATTCCCCTGAGCCCTCTCCTTGCCAGGCTGAAGAGGCCCAGCTCTCAGCCTCTCCTTTTGGGGTTCTTCAGCCTCTTCATCATCTTCGTAGCTTTTCACTGGACTCGCGGTCCCCTCGGGGGGCTCCCGCTGTGTGGGGTCCTCAGCGAACGCGCCGAGGGGGCCCTGTGCCCGCAGCCAGGTCCCTAAGGAAGGTGTCGAACAGTACTGGCCATGGCAGCAGCCCCTGGGTGACACCGCTCGTGACCGGCTTCCAGCTGCACTTTGTAGCCCCGTCACCTCCTCGGAGCCCAGCAGCTGGGCCCGCTCTCAGCCCACCTCGCTGGCACTTATCTCATAAACTTCATCAGCTTATCTACAAGGACATTAGGAGGGACGGTGTTGAAAGCCTCGCTAAGGTCAACATCGCTGCTCTGCCGTGGTTCACCAACCTCCTTGTCCTAAAAGGCCATCAGACTGGTCAGACACGATCTCCCTTTGCCAATCCACGCTCACGACTCCCTGCCTGTTCCTCATTTGAAAAGGGTTTCTAGGATTAGTTGCTCCATCACCTTCCCAGGCGAGATCAGAGGGTCTTTCCCTAGGCCCTATATCAAGAACGGGCACCTGGACCATGTGTCTTTAATCAATATGGGTTTTAATCACAAGAACTTATCAGAGCATTCCTTCAACCTACCTAAAAAAAGGTCAAAAAAAGGATTTTAAAGAAGGAGCAAAAAGGAGGAGGGGGCAAAACAGGCATTAAAAAAAAAGAGGGGTTAAAAAAAGAAGGTGGTGGCACTCAGGAGCAGTAAGTGCCAGGACATCATGAAAAGCTGCCTCGATGGCACCTGGAAATTCTGTGACCTCTGAGGGGCAGCCTGACCCTCTTCCCGCTCCTGCACGTCCTCCGTGAGCCTGGGAAGCTGCAGCTACAGGTTAGGAATCCCCAAAGGCACCGGGAGAGCAGCAGCGGGTGTCCCAAGCGGTCGGCGGTGACACGTCACATACACCAGCCCCGGGGCACATTGATCCGCTAACCCTTTGAGGATGCTCAAAGTCCCAGGGCCATGGCAAGGCGGGAGCAAGAGACCTGCCAAGGGGGACTTGCTAACCCAGCAAGACAGAGCGATCCCCAGGAGCCCTGTCAGGGCATCCAGACATGCCCAGATCCCGCCCGGAGCAGCCTTCGGTTCAGCTCCTGCGTGGGCTCAAAACTTGTCACCTTGTGGCCGAACCTTCCTGAGGTTTCGCCCTGCTGAATTCCCTGTTTCCACCGTCTGTGTGGTGCACGGCAGAAGCAGCGTCATGGTGTAACTGGCTGTGACATCCCCATCCTGTCCGGGCTGCTGAGGACAGGGATCAGAGGTGGCACCAAGGGTGGCTCCATTCCTGTCACACAGGGGATTCCATGCAGCATGGGGATTTCCTCAGTGCTGTCAGGAAAAGCTCCATTCCCTGCGATCCCCCTCGCCTGGATACCGCAGGTATCACCACAGGGCCGCCCTTTGGCGGTGGATGGATGACGGACACACGGGGCACAACGGGAGCGAAGGAAACCCAGGCCTCCCACGTTACCCTCTCCCACAGATCCTCCCCACATCCCGCTGACCTCCCTCTCACCAGAGCACACCCTGCAGGGGTGAGAACCTCACCCAGCCTCACGAGAGCAGCCCCTGCCTCACACGAGCGGCCCTTTCTCAGTGTTTACTTCACACAACCCCCCTGAACCTCGGCCGGGGGGCGGCCGCAGCTGGGGCCTGTTTCCTCTCCACTCCCCGAGGGCTTCAACCCGCGGCCGAGGGACCCCCGGGTGACAAGGGGGTGACAAGGGCCGCCCGGTGACACGAGCCCGCCCCTCACGGGCTCCCACACGGCGACACCGGAGCGCGGGCCGCGTCATGGCGCCCGCCGCTCCCAGCATGCCCCGCGCGCGCCCCCGCCGCAGCCGCGAGGACTACAACCCCCAGCATGCACCGCGCGTGCCGGCCCCACGCCGCAGCCGCGAGGCCTACAATCCCCAGCATGCACCGCGCGCCCGCTTCCGGGCCTGCCGCTCCGCCGTGGCCGCCGCCGCCGCCGCCGCTCCCACCATCGTCACCGTCGCCGCCTCGGCCCCGGGGGCGGCAGCGCGCGCTCACCTGCTCCAGCTTCTGCGGGGAGGCGTTGAGCAGCTCGTTCAGCTCCGCGAACATGGCGCCGCGCGGCAGCGGCCGCGACGGCAGCCGCGGAGGGCCCAAATGGTCCGGCTCGAGGCGGGGGGAGGGGCGCGCGCCGGGAGGCGGGCAGGCGGCGGCAGCTCTGCGCATGCGCTGCCCCCCCCCCCCACCGCGCGGCCGCGCGCGCCGCCTCGTGGCGACAGGGGCGCGCAGGGAGTCACGTGGGCTGGCGTGACGCAACGGGCGGGCTGGGGTACCTCACACACACACACACAGACAACAGGCAGAATGGGGATACCTCACACACACACACACACACACACACACACACACACACA